GTGTCTTTGTCTTTCATGTTAAGAGATGTTCGTCAAATGTCCGGAGATCCTTGGATATCCACTCATATTTAACAGTGGGTCCCAAAAAGCCTGTTGGAAGGTCCATGAGCAGCAGTAACCTTCATTGCGTGGTGATCAGGTAGGGAACCAGATTTTATGCTGGAAAAGCCCCAAACATGAGTAACTGTAGGTACCTACTCTTGTGTCTTTCTGTTTCCTCAGAGAGGAATGTTCTAATCTCCGGCTGGGGCTGGGGGCTGCGAGGGGGTAGGTTCTAAGCCTGATGGCTAAGAATTCCAAGGCTTTCTCAGAGTCTCACTGCTTAGTGGGTCCTGTGTTCCATAAGGTACCCCTTAACCCCTTTTTCAGCTGTGGCTAGTTCCAGCACTTCTCTGGTTCACCCTCTCTTTACAGTAAACCTCCCACCTTCTGTGGGGGGTGGAGGAGAAGTGGAAACTTGGTGGCATGGGCTGGAGAAGGGATTTGGAGTCTAATTTCTCCTGTGACACACCTTCAAACAATCCTCTTTTGTTTTTCAGCCATACTCCTGCCATCGGCGGTATGTGGTGTCTCGAATTCCTTAGCCTTTCTTGGGGGTCCCCGGCACAAATCCTCACAGAGTAGGGAACACAGAAACCTCATCAGTGTACGAGTGAGAATCGATCAGGCTGTGCTGTGGCAACAAACCACCCCAAATCCCCAAGGCTTAAAACAACAAAGGTTGCTTCCTCTCTCACACTACATGTCCACAGGGGCAGGAGAGAGCCCGGCTCATCATGGTCACTTGGGACCCACACGGACAGAGGCTCTGCCATCCTGTGACACCGCCATCTTAACCTGAGGCTTCAGGGGAAGAAGGTGCTCTGAGCTGCTCCTGCCTAGAAGCAACATCACATTTCACTGCTCCCGTTTCACTGGCCTTGTCTTGCTCCTAGGGTATGAGGAGGTGCAGTGCAGTCATCCCTGGGCTTGAAAGCAGAGGACAACTGGCAATATGGGGGAGGGGCACTAATGTCTACCACAGCCAGTCACCACTATGGTGTTCCAAAATTCTGTTGTCCTCATCTGCTGCTGTTTCCTCTGTCTCCTGGTGATTGTGGCTTTACGTATTTTTATTATTTTAGTCATTTTAGTGTAGCTTTCTTTTTCGAATTTTATTTATTTTTAAACAGCAGGTTCTTGTTAGTTATCCATTTTATACATATTAGTGTGTGTATGTTTAGTGTAGCTTTAAGAGGGAGCAGTGATAAAGACCAATTCAAACTGTGCAAACACACCACTCCAAGTAGCCAAAACCCTCCCATTACGCTGTGTGCTCGCTCCCATCCATCCCTCTGATTCCACCCCCGCTCTGTTCTCTACTCAGAGTGAGTTTGTTGCCTAAAGAGAGACGGGTAGGCTGCGGAACTTCTCAGAACGGGTCATTCATTAACAATACTTTTCAAGAAGGGGGCTGGGTGGTAGTTTTCAAACATATATCTAGAAAAGAGCCTTTACTAGAAGCAAAGCATTTATAAATACTTTTTTTCAGAAAACAATTATATTCACTCACTGCTGAGCATCTAGTCTACGTTCAATAAGTCCTTGCTAACGAGCAATCCTATTTTCGCATTCTGTAGGATTCACTTGCAAACAGATGCCAGTTTCCTCCAAGTATGAGAAAAATGCTAAAACATCCGAGTGAATTAAAAGTAGTGTTTAGAACTAACAAACGTAAGGTAGATAGCTAGTGGGAAGCAGCCGCATGGCACAGGGATATCGGCTCGGTGCTTTGTGACCGCCTGGAGGGGTGGGATAGGGAGGGTGGGAGGGAGGGAGACGCAAGAGGGAAGAGATATGGGAACATATGTATATGTATAACTGATTCACTTTGTTATAAAGCAGAAACTAACACACCATTGTAAAGCAATTATACCCCAATAAAGATTTTTTTTTTTTTTTAAAAAGTAGTGTTTAGAGCAGATTTAGCTATCAGCAGATACCTCTGGCAAGTAGTAGTACAGGTGGTTTTTATTACCATCTATTTGCATCACTGTAGTTTCTGATGTTGCTATTTTGAGAACGCACTGCTTCTGTAACAAGAATTCCAGGGCCCCCTTTCCAGGCCAGTTGACCAAAATCACAGTGGGAGAGCCCCTTCCATGAAACCACACCTGTGGTTTACGTCTAGGTCTCTAATTAGCTAGGTCTCTAATCCATAGAGCTAACATGGGGAAACTACCCAGATGATACTTGTCCTTTAAATCAGTGGTTCTTAATTTTTTACATACTCAAGAATCACAGGGAGAATTTACAAAACGAAAACAAACCTAATGAACAAAACCCCAGATCACTGGACCCCATCTTAGGTATTCTGGTTTGGAAAAGAAAGGTAGTAATTTGTATTTTTAACAAGTACCTTCCAGAAAGACTTCAGGCCACGTGGCTTTTAATAGGGCTTTTCCATTTTCTACAACAGTATACACGGAATGAGCATTCAGTAAATATTTTTTGATGCTGAGGAAGAAATCCACAGAATGTATGTATTTCCCCCATGATACCATCAAAGAGGTAGCAAATGAAGGTCTTTCCTATAAATGTGGCATGACCGATGAAATGCAACCCACAAATTCAAATGGCTTAAAGACAACTGGTGGAATATTTTAAAGCACAGGTCTTGGGGTTTGCTTTGTATTAACTGTTCATAACCCAGAAAGCCCTACTAACCAATTTCTTACTACTGTCAAGTTGAATTTCTGACTGGATGGGTTTCTAAAGCATCACCCAATATTCTGGAATCAATTCTACCTCCTGAATGAAACACCTTGCAAGAGGGTTAAGCTGTTTTCCTAGTTCAAATGGATAAAAGCAAGCCCCCAGCCCTAGTGGAGGCTGGGTGATGGGCTCATCGTGAGGCTGCAGGGACCAGGTGGTTAAGCTAGTAGTTTCATGGAGCTGGTGCAGGTGAGAGAGCTGAAGGAAGAGGCCAGCATCTGGACCGAATGCTCCTGCATCTTTTTCTCGGATGGCTTTCCAAGTCTCTAAAAAGGATGTAGAACCCGGCCTCTTGACAGCTCCCTACTTTTAAAAACCTGCTCCATTTCCACTACATTTGCAAAATACTTGCTGCACTCCATCCCTCCAAGCCAGAAGGAACCTGGAGACAGCGGGAGGTCACCGACAATTCTGCACGTGAGTGCACCTATTTTTAACTGTTTGACTGTGAAGCCTGGAAAGCAGAGGGAGACACCAAGCATGCTAAACTAACTGACCCAATGCTGCCCCCTGGCTGGGAGGATGCAGATCCCTTCCCAACCCATTTCCAACCTTGCCTTAAAGGTGCCAGCGATTTAATCAGCTAACAGCCAATGCTGACCGTTACTAAAAGAGCAGGCGAATGATACCTTTCTGACCCGCATAGCCCTTTACCTATTTAAGTAAAATGAACAAACAGCTTCCAATAATTGTTCCTCACTCCAAACGATATACCAAGAAATAGGCTGGTGCAATCATAAAATGCAGAATTAAATGAAACCGAATTTAACCACTTGACCCTTCTTTTACTCCAAGCTCGCATTTTAAATGAAAGTGCTTTAAAAAAATGAAAGTGCTTAAAAATTATTCAAGAGAATGGAAAAGTGAGAGTCAGAGGAGAAAGAGAATCCTTAGAGCCAGGTAGTGGGGGTAAAGGTTAGCCTTCTTGATTTATTTTGAATAGACTGTGGTGACACTCAAGCTTGCCGAGTTATCAAATTTCTTAGGTATTTCAAACACAGAAAATAAAATGCAGACAGGGCAGCAATAGCTTTCTGTAGCTCTTCACAAGAAAGTGTATTTCAGTTCAAAAACATGTCTTTTGTGAGGTGAGAAGGACACTCTGGTACCACCAGAGATGAAAACTAAGCCCTTCCTGAAAGTCACAGTGAAAAAACTGCAGACACCCCCGAAAGGCAGAAGGATTTCCTTGATTTCCTCCGAAGAGGCCACACTATCCATCCCAAACTTTTAAGGGTTGCTTTAAGGCAGTGGTTCTCAAATTATGGTCCTGGGACCAGCAGCATTAACATCACCTGGGAACTTATTAGTGACAACGTTGAGTTTCACCTGAGCCCTGAGATCCTGGAAAACAGCAAAGGTTAAGGGCTCCCCTGCCCTCGTTTTGTGTTCTGGAAATGGCTTAGGCAAAGAACCTACCTTCCCATTAGACTTGAGTAGCTCACAGGTGCTCCCTTGTTTACCTATGACAAGGCCAGACACAGACCCTCCAAATTTACATTCTTTGCCTGACAAATGGTTAGTTGAACTGCTGATTAATCCAGACAAAATGCTTATTAACCAGCCTTTGATGAAGCTCCTCGCCTTCTTCCAGGTCCCTGAACTTTGGCCAGCTTACCACCCCTACTCAACAGCCCCTCCTGGGAATAGGCTGATGTCAGGTTAAAACACTCTTTCATGGGCAATGTTCAAGCCGTGCTTCATCCCACTTCCTCACACCTTGTTCTTCCAAGCCTTGTTTACTCCTCCCTCCAAAAGAACCCCCTTTGTGCCTAACTCTAGAGACGCTTGCAGATCTTACAGAGGTTCTGCTACTGCAACAGTCCCCCTTCCCCTGTTACAATAGGACCTTTCCCCTTTGCAATAATGCTTTCCAATAAAGTCTCTCCTTACTCAATCCAGACCTGTTTTTTTATTTGACGTTAGAAATACAAATTCTCAGGCCCCGCCCCATACCTTCTAAGTGGGAAACTAGGGTATGGAAAGCGGTGCGCCTGGAAATCAATTTCTGAACAAGTGCTCCAGGAACAGTTTGAGAACCACTGATTTACGGCAACTTCTCAACACTTAACTCCCTCCCACCTGTGTTTCACTCAGGCGCGCTTAAGCACAAGCTGTTTCTGAGCATCCCCACAGATCGTTTCTCTCATCAAGTCATTTCCCAATGACAAACGATGCCACCGAGCGCCCGTCTCCCCTCCTGGCCGCGCGTGGAGCTGAGCGGGCCTGAACCCGCACACACTTACATCTCCATCCACCGGCCTCTGGTCGTCACAATCCCTGGTGGGACTAATGTCCTGGCGCATGACCCAGATGGGCTCTTTGGGCTCGTCGGGGGTATAAGGCGAGCGTATGGTCCTGGTTTTCACCTCCTCGATGGCCTCCTTGATGTCCTTGATGGCCAGCGAGATGGCATCCCTCTTCTCCTTGCTGTACCGCTGCACCGCCTCGCCGCCAGCCGCCCTCTGCTGCCCCGCCGGCGCCTGTAGCCCGGGGCTGTCCGGGCGGCCCCCGCCCGGGGTGGGGGCGCGCTCCAGGTCCTGCTCGGCCTCAGGCATGTCCTCGGCCGCCTTGTCGAGGCTCTGCGAGCTCATGCTCTGCTTGACCTCGGCCACGATCTGGTCGATGTCCTCTTCCTGCTCGTAGCTGTCCATGCGCGGGTAGGGCGCGAACTCGGCCTCCTTCTCGGGGCTGTCGGACTCGCCGTCGGAGCGCTCGTCGTAGTGGTGCAGCCGCGCGCCCAGGGCCTCCTGGCGGTAGGCGGCCGCCTCGTCTCGCTCCTGCTCGTACAGCCGCAGGCCGTCGCGCGCGTCCAGCTCGGGTGCGTCCCCGATTTCCTCGTACACGTGCTCCTGGAGGCCCCCGTAGTCGGCGTAGGGCTCGGCATAGGGCTCGTCCTCGCCGCGGTGGAAGAGCCGGTGCGTGTAGACGTAGCCCGAGTAGGCAGCGTTCATGGCCTCCTCGTGCTCCAGCGAGTGGAAGTGCAAGTGGTTGGGCAGCGCGCGGCGGTGCGTGGCCTCGGCGTGCTCGGCCTCCGCCTGCTCCGTGTACTCCTCGGCCTCGGGCCGGTACTGCACTGCGTACGCGCTCTCGTCCTCGGGGTCCTGCGCGCGCTCGGCGTCGTAGCCCTCGCGCGCTGCGGCAATCACGTCGCCCTCGGCCGTGTCCGTGTGGTTGTGGAAGCCGCTCTCCGTGCTGGCGGAGCGCGCCAGGCACTCCCCGCGCTCCTCCTCCTCCTGCTGCTGCTGCGGCCCGGGCTGGGCGCGGAGGTCCTCGACGGCGCGCCCGCGCAGGGGGCGGCCCGCATGGTGCTGCTGCTGCTCCTCCTCCACCTCCGGGTGCTCCAGGTCGGCCTCCACCGACTCGTTCACCTCCCCGCCTGCCGCCTCGTCCGTCACCTCCACCTCCGCGGCCGCCTCCAAGTGGTTCATGGTGGGCGTCGGCGACGGCTGGAAGAGGGGCTGGGCCGGCTCACTGCGCTCTCATTCTGCTCCACCCGGCTGGAAAAACAAGAAGGGGGGAGGGGCTATTACGTGGTTCAGACTGTAGGCGGGAGTTGAGTACCAAGATACCATAAAAACAGCTGTTATTGATCCCATCTGAATCTCGGTCAATTCAAAAGTGATTGCAAATTTAAGCTCAGCCTGAGAGCACATAGTTCATCTTCTTCGTAGCACGTGTCGTAATTTGTAATTACATATCTCCTTGTGTAATTGCTTACTGGCTTTCTCCCTTCCCCACCCCTCAGACTGAGAGCCTCTTGAGCCGTTAGTTCCCCACCATGCTTACTATTCAGGTTCTGTTTCTGATGCATATGAATAGAGAGTACTACCAAATTGAATGAGACAATTGACACATTTTCCATCTGCTAAGGGATAAATCTAAGTTATACTAGAAACGATTTTTAAAATAAGTTTCAAGGGAAAAAAAAAATCTTGGAATGTTTTGGATCCGTTGCTGTCAATACAAATTCGCAGCCATTCTGGGGGAGGCTATCAACCATCAATGGATTCTCGTCCTGGCACTGCTGGCTCTGTTGCCTCCGGTTAAGTGGCTCAATTTTCTGGACCTCCACCATGAGACTGGACTCATTTCCTATGGCAGGATGTTAACACCTATTACCTAGACAAGAAAAGACTCCGTGGTCAAATAAGTCTGGGAAATGCTGACTTCGAGTTGACTTTTCATTGTGAATATTCAAGGGGAGGAAGATACAGGATGCTCCGTTCACAAACTTGTTTGACTGGGAAACACTTTTTTCCTACAGGCCAGTGTTCTGACAAATGCACTTAAAGAAACACAGACTAGCTAATTTCTAATACTCACTTCCCTCATACACCCTGGATCTACAATTCTTTGATTCTATGAATTAGCATTATAGCTGATATTGGATAACATGCTTATTTCTTTAAAATATGGTTAGGTCTCTTTCCCTATTTTCAGAGGGACTTGCAGCTAGAGACACAGCTTTGGTTTCAACCTCTCAATTCTTATCACAAAATAGCTTTATAGCATAATCTGTGTACAGCGTATGGAAATAAACACAAAGGATGTAGAGAACAGCAAAAACAAGCAGGATCCCTATGATTTCAAGACATTTATGGTAAATAGGTTCAACATGTGTAAACTTTTAGGGACTTCCCTGGTGGTCCAGTAGGTAAGATTCCGAGCTCCCAAGGCAGAGGGCCCAGTTTCGATCCCTGGTCGGGGAACTAGATCCCACATGCATGCCACAACTAAGGAGCCCACATGCCACAACTAAAAAGATCTTGCATGCTGTAACTAAAGATCCCGTGTGCTGCAAATAAGACCCGGCACAGCCTAAATAAATAAATATATTTTTAAAATGTGTAAACTTTTCTCATAGTGTTCTTTTGGAGAGCTCATCTTACAAATGGACAAAAGTGGGAAGTGAACTCTTTAATGTAATAGCAGAAAGCTCCAGGAGGACCAGGAACATCTGATGGACTCTCTCATGTTTTGATGCATTATATTCTACTCAACTCCCACCACAATGAAAGCAATTTCCTTCAGGCACTATGACAGTCCCAGTAGTAAAGGAGGCCATTTTGGAGCTACCAAGTTCATCTTAAAGCAGAAGTATCATCTTTCTGCCATTCTTTGATGGATCCACCACTGACTAATACTCACTAGAAAACAATTGTGGTTTAGCAGAGATGATCAATCCTTATTGCTTCCTTCCTTGATAAGAGTCCCACTTCATACAAATTAGACCCTGTCTTCTTTGAAAAACTGTGGCCTCCTCTCATTTAACCCCTGAGAACAGTGACTGTGAACTAGGTATAAGAAAGTTTTCCAAGTACGAGTCTCCATTCAGACCAGATGGATGGTTAACGCACTGAACAGAAGAGGCAAATGCTGGTGCTGAGGGCCCCCAGGTTAGGTGGCCTCCAGCGGGTCACGCAAAATACAAAACAAATATTCAATTCGATACAACACATGGACGACAACAGTCTATCCAAGTTTCCTTTATAAGGACTCTCTGGAAAAGACAACAGATAAAAACCACACTCATGTACAAATCTAAGTCTGCTGAGCACAAAGAAGGCATTCACTGGGAGGGATACCAAACATGCCAGATACTTCCTGGGGTACTGTTGCCCTGCAGTGTGTCAGCTGTGCATGCTTAGCGTTAGCAACGCAACAACCACCATCCAAAACACCTGAACAAGCCAAGAATTCATGATAACCATGTGCAGAACTGATCAAAACACTGTCCTCAGTGAAAATGGCACTTTCCCTTTTCACTTTGATGAAAATCTATCGATATGTGCATCAGAAAGAGATTTTAGTTTATTCTGGGTTAAAATTGTATTTGACCAGCAAATGGTGCCATCTCATAGAGCACTGATCCAAAAGAAATGAGATTTCCATGCATGTCCATACACTGAGTTATGGTAAACAAAGTCACAAGAAACCACTACTTTAGGGAAAAATACTGTCAAAATAATGCAGTTTTGCTACAGTGGAGCTTTCTATTCACTGGGTGCATTGTCCTTATACCCCCTCCCCCAGCCTCAGGGGAGTATTCCCGCACGCACGGAGCATTTCTATTTCACTCACCACCGTGGTTTCAAGAATATAGTTTGGGTTGTGGTGTTTGTGGCATGTTAATTAATAACAGACATCGATTTGAGGGATTTCTCTAGGACAAAGGCAAATACCAACTTTTAAAGATGGAGCTGACGTTGGTGGTCAGGTCCATCGGTAGCGCACGAGAGGATGGTTCCCTGTACCCTGGCAACTTTGAGGGTGATATTTATTTAAAAACCCCACTGAGGCTGTTTTGAAAGAATCCAAGGTTATTGTGGGTATAGAGATTGGTACCACCTTTTTGAAAAGCAATTTGGCAAGATGAATTAAAATCTTAAAAAGGTAATATACCTTTGCCCCAGTAACTCTACTTATAGAAATCTCAAAGGAAAAACTCAGATGTGGACCAAGATGTTTCTCACGGTATTTGCTTAAAAAGTAAAGATTATAAACACTAACTATTAAGCGCTAACATTAAGTACGAATAAGTACAGTGCTAATAAGCGTGTTAGCATCATATTGCAGTTCAGGAAGGTGTGGGGCTTCTCTGGCTGGCTAGCTCCACCTGGAGTTCCCACAGCACTCAATCTCAACCTGCCACAGCTGAACATCTCAGCTCCCAAACCTGGCCCCGCCTCCTGTATTTCCTGTATGGCTGAAAGGCACCACCAAGTCCCCAGTCCAGGAATCATTACTGAGTTGTCCCTTTCCCTAACCTCCTTCCCCAGACTGAGGACCAAGTCCATTGTCTTCATAGCTCTCGCATCATCCTCACTGCCACTACCTTGTCTCGGTCCCTCTCGCCTACAAAATTTCCTTGACTAATTTCTCAGTCCCCCCCAGTCGATCCTCACCTCACTATGAGCCAACCTGCTCATCTTTCTAAATGCAAATCTGAATCCCATAGCCCTATTTCTCAAACTCTTCAGCGATCTCCCTCCAGTACATAGTACAGGTGCTTAGCTAGCTATCTACCAGACATTACTAGGCATTTGCCACATAACGACTCATTTAATCCTCACACTAGCCTATGAAGAGCATACTCGTCTATCGTCTTTAGAGAGATTATTGTCAGCTCTTTTAAAAATGAGGAAATGGAGGCGGGTGGTGTTAGGTGATTGCCTAGGTCACACACCTGCTGGCAGAACTGGTGTCACCCCCTCTAGCCCACCCCCGCCCCTGCCCCCGCCTCTAGGCTCTGGTGCTTGAGTCCTACTCCTGACAAACAGAGCCCTTGGGCCACATCACTCCTCCTAGCCTCATCTTCACGCTTCACCTCCACCCTGTATTCTAACACCCCGAAGTCCTGACACTAGCCCTAACTGCCTTCCCTATCCTCAGCACATTTTTTTTTTTTTTTTTTGCAGTACGTGGGCCTCTCACTTTTGGGGCCTCTCACTGTTGGGGCCTCTCCCGTTGCGGAGCACAGGCTCCGGACGCGCAGGCTCAGTGGTCATGGCTCACGGGCCCAGCCGCTCCGCGGCATGTGGGATCTTCCCGGACCGGGGCACGAACCTGTGTCCCCTGCATCAGCAGGCGGACTCTCAACCACTGCGCCACCAGGGAAGCCCGACCTCAGCATATTTTTCACCTATCTTTTCTTTGGTGAATATGTCTTATCTTCCCGAAAGCAAGTTCATACCTAATGAATGTTTATTACGTGCCAGCCTCCAGGCAATGTTCTGGGCATAGAGGCAGAGCAATGGCCAAGCCAGACAGGCTGTTCTGTTCTCAGGAAGCCACCATTCTAGTTCATGGGGGTGGAGGGAAAGGAGAGGGGAAGAGACAATAATTATGTTAATAAACAAATAAAATAACATCAGGGAACAAAAAGTCTTATGAAGAAAATGAAATAGGGTAATGGCAGAGAAACTGACCGAGGAGAGAGGGCCTCCTATAGTGGCCAGAGGAGGTGATATGGGCACTGAGGTCTGAATGATAAAGAAAGAGGCAGCCAACTAAAGATCTGAGGGCAGGGCCTTGAGGTGAGAAAGGACTTGCTGTGTTCAAAGACAGAAATAATGTTTGTGAACTGAGCAAGGGATGATGTGGTAGGAGATGAGGACGGAAAGTTGGGAAGGGGCTAGCAGGGCAGGGCCTGGTACATCATGGTAGAGTTATTTCAAGTGCACTGGCATGCTACTGGGGGGTGTTTAAGCAGGGGAGTAATAAAGCCTGATTAACCCCTCCCATCATCCTCACTGTACCCTTTCTATCTATCTATCTATCTATCTATCATATTATGGCACCTGTCATTCTGAGTAGCAATTCTTTATAAATATGAAGTCCTTGAGAAAAGAGGACATGTCATTTATCTCTGATTCCCCAGTGCCAAGTACAGAGGGAACATAGTAGGTAGTCAGTAAATTCTTAGTGACTAGAAAGAAAATAATTATCCTCCCACTTTCCAATATCAGGGGCCTTCTGGACATTGGCATGCCCAGCC